TCATTGTGCATCTATTAAATCTTGATCAGGGTTTCAAGAATGACTGCAGTGGGTTTTGGAAACAGACTTATCATTATTGATTTGAGGTTTCCCAGAGATATAGTTCACAGTTAATTGTTGCGCTCTAATACAACTGACCATTTAAAATTGAACAACAGTTTATTGTTTTGTAACAATGTCAGTTGTTAAATCTTGACATTTCAATTAAAACATGAATTGTAGTTATAACTCAATGCAAATTCAACAGTTGTATTTGGAGTTAAATTATTTTAACAAATAAATTTATTTAATGAAACTCTGGATTTGTTTTGTTTTGTACATACGCATGACAGAAATTTATTATATACAAAACAACTAAAAATTGCCATATAAAATGAATTTAGTACTTACTTCTCATACAAAAATATTTTAGTCAATTTAAATTGAGAGTTCATCATATTGAAAGGCAGGTAGGTAGATAATTTTCATGGTCTTTAAAAATAACACAAAAAAGATTGTAAAAATCAATTATTATAAGTATAAACATATCTCTACAAATGATATTTTGTATGATAGCTGGTTAATTTGAAGCCCAATGCTAAGGTTAACAGAATTGTTACGAATAATTAACGTTAATTGGCAATATCACTAAAATGATTCAGTATCCTTCTAGTGATAGCTTGAAGCTGCCTTTCTGTTTTCAGGTCACATGGATCCGAAGGTGCCAGAAGCTGAAGGTTGCCGCCAGGCTGTAGGGCCTGCTTGTTCTTTATGGGGCCCTGTGAACGTTGACAGATGCTGTTAATTGTATACAGCCTTCAGCTGCTCTGATAAGGAGCCCATTCATTTCCTAAGCCAATTTAAATTACTCCTTTTGGTTATATTGCCTTCAAACTCTGCTGAAATCCTCTGGCAGCATTCCTCCAGTTGAGAAGCTTCATTGTTTAGATTATAAGAATAATTTGAATGAATATAACAGAGGCACTGTAGATAGAATCCCAGATATTTAAAGGAAAACGTGCCTATATTTTAGTAATATCTTCTGAAGAACTTCAAAATTTTATTTCAAGAGTTTGTAACTTTTTTGGTAAATTATTTAAACCTATCTAATCCCAAATTGGAAGAATGCCTTTGAGGCTAAAAAATAGTACTTTGACATTCTCTCAAGTTATACCATTTGTTAGAGGTTCATGAATGAAAAGATACATGGCTAAAGGAATAAGGTGCTGCCGAATTTGGAACCCAACTGACCTCTAGGATCTGTGAAGCAGAGAATAGTATCACATACTTCCGAAAGAAGCTGTTGACCTCTTACTTGATTCTTAATTTAAAATGTTGCCACATAAATACTAATAAAACATGGTGGTTCTTCATCTGTTATGGATAATTTCAACTGGTTTTATATTATTGAATATTTTCTAATTTTTTAATATAAATAATTTTTAGATAATATTCAGCATCCCCAACATGGAAGTATTGAGTTTTAAAAGATTTGCTGCTATTCTAGGTAAGATGCTGTGTTCTTTCTTTCTATATTTTCTTAGTAGTCTTCACCTTGGCCTGTTGTAAGGATTTCTCCAAGATTTCTCAGCAGAGAAAAAGGTAGAGGGCTAGCTGCTTGAAAGAGTAAATATGAAGACCTATTTAATATGTATGAGTTGGGAATAAAGAAACTGAAGGAATGATTATTGGTTTAGCTTATGAGAATTTTTTATTAAAAAAATCTTAGATCCATTTCAAAGACTTAGGTATGAATGATTCATATTTACAATTTTACACTGACTATTTTGAGTGTGATGCGCTTTTTTACCTTTAAAAACATCAGGATTAGTGAAGCAAATAAAAAGGTCACCCCAACATCCAGTTCCCCAAAACAGCCATGTTAACAATGGATGTAAATCATTCCCAGCATCTTCCTATGCACATATACATATGGAAGTATATAAACATAAGTAGAAAGATAACTTGATGGTATTTTTGAGAAACTGGCTCTAAGAACTAAAAATGAATCACTGAAGGTCACACAGCTAATAAAGTGGCAGAGTTAGAAACTCTTCTAACTTTTCTAACTTCTAATAAGCTTCTAACTCTAAATTACCTTTTCCCCACTGTTAATCCTTTTACTTAAATTGAATCCACTCATTCCATGCTCATTCAGCTGTTATTGAGAGGTTATACCTGCGTCTGGCACTGTGACAATATAGAGATGTTCATCTGCACGTAAACCCTGACGTGAAAGACATCCTAGTCCTGTCTCCTTGCCATTCCCTTTTCTCTCAATACATTTTAGTCTACTGGCAAGAAATAATTTGTACCTCCCCTACTTTCACATGTCAGCATCCCAGTAGCCCAAGCTGAGCCAAACTCCCGGGCACAGCCTCAGACTGCTGCTGGATCTGTTCTTTTCAACATCATGCACCAGCCTGAGCTAGTCCCTCCTGGAAACTTGAGGTGTCTGTGGGATAGGGTGGAGCTGGATGACAGTACAGCAGGGCTTCAGGGCTCTGCTATTACCAGCTGGGTCTACTTCCTGAGAACTCAGGCTAACAATAGGATTAGCGAGGGGGAGTGGGGATACAGAGGCAGGTTGGGGACAGCAGGGCAAAGGGTTCTATGTATCAGATACTATAGTTAAATACCATGCCTATAGTTAAATATCAGATGTTTTTAGGTTTTAGATTTTTAGTTTAAAATGTTGGTATGTTCACAACACAGCTCTGTAGTGTGTTCTGAAGAGGTCTTATACCATGAGAGGTTTTGCTGAAAATTACAGTCAAGTAAGTTTGGGAAATCCCACGTAATGCATCTCACGTCTTGGAAAAAAACTCGAATTCCACTGATGTCCCAAAACTAACTAAACCCCAGGACACTGTCTTTAGATTATACATAGTAGCACTCCTTGGAGCACAATTTCGAAAATATTGCTATTAGATATTTGGCTTCCAAACCCTGATGTGGGAACTCTCAGGTGAGGGGACCTGGATCTGTTGAAAGCCTCAGAACTCCTCTGACCCCTGTAGTCTCTAGAGGGATGGCAAGAGAAAGGGAGAGGGTTGGGTCCAATAGCCCGTGCCTGTAATCCCAGCACTTTGGGAGACCAAGGCAGGTGCATCATTTGAGGTCAGGAGCTCGAGACCAGCCTGGCCAACATGGCGAAACCTTGTCTCTACTGAAAGTACAAAAATTAGCCAAGTGTGGTGGTGTGTGCCTGTAGTCCCAGATACTCTAGAGGCTGAGGCAGGAGAATTGCTTGAATCTGGGAGGCAGAGATTGCCATGAGCCGAGAGCACGCCACTGCACTCCAGCATAGGTGGTAGAGGGAGACTCCTTCCAAAAAAAAAAAAAAAAAAGAGGGAGAAGAGGAAAGGAGGAAATCTACAGTTGATGGATATTTGAGTCATTTCCAGTTTGAGTTTATTATGAATAAAGATGCTATAAACATTCATGTACATGACTTTTGGTGGATAGACACAATACTCCTAGGTCAATATCTAGGACAGAAATTGCTAAACCACAAGATTTGCTTGGTGTCAGCTTTGGTAAACAATGATAGTTTTATTGAGTGGTTGTACCAATTTACACAAACAAGCAATGTGTGAGAACACCAGTTGCAGCATGTCACAGGATGGACTGCCTGGGAAGTGGACTGTGATACAGAGCTTAGTGTGCAGGATGTTAATTACCAAGTGTCCTTGGG